CTGCAGGTGTGTGTAGCATAGGTTGTGTGCTTGTTAGAGGGTGTAGCACAGGTTGTGTGTTAGTGGAGTGTGCAGTGCAGCCCGGATTGGTTGTTGGCTAAGGGTGTAGCACAGGTTATGCGATTGGTTGAGCAGTGGAGGAGGGGGTGATGGTGTATCACAGGCAGAGAGCAGATGCTCTTTGGGGTTACAGTCAGTCCCAGGCACAAATGCTACCTAGTTCTGCTGCTGCCCCGCTCTCTGGGGCTCGGGGCCAGGCCCTGCTGGTTATCTCCCCAGCACAGCTGCACTCCCAGCCCCCGCTACCCCACCCTGGCTGGCTGAGGTCACAATGCCCTGGCTGAGTGCAGGGGCTGCAGGTAGCAGCTGTCTCGGCTGAGCTCGTCCAACTGTGGAGCCCAGCCAGCGGCAGGAGGCACCTGGTGCATTCGGACCTGGGGAGAGCTCTGGGTAAGGGGCCCTGGGCTCTAGTGCTGATGCCCAGCCCAGTGCCTGTCCCGAGTCCAACCCTACCCGCCGCCCCCTGTAGTGCGGGGCCCACGCCTGCTCCCACTAGGTTGCTGGGAGCTTTGCAGGGACTTTAGCGGCAGCAGGAAGCCTTGATACCTCCAGTGCAGGCTGGGTGAATGTGTGCTGCCAGAGGAATCAACAACAAAGCCCCACTCTGCCTTCAGTGTGGGGTGGCTTCCCCCATGGGACATTGCACCAAGCAGTGAATGTTTGGTTCCAGCTGGTGCTTTTTATCGGGCCCCTTAGTGGTGACTTGTTATCTGTGGCCCACCTGAATTTCTCTGAGCTTTTTTATGCCCACGGCATAATCAGCACTACACTAGCTAATATTGACTTCCAGAGACCACTAGCCACAGTGTACTAGATGTCGTTAAAAATAAATAACTAGAAGCCGGGTGGTGTTATACTTCAACACCTCCTCAAAGTAGATTTGCCCCCCTAAGTATAATGCCATTTTTACCTGCACCCTAGTGGCGTGTGAATGAAAGTCCCAGACAAGGTATTTTAATTACAGAGAAAAATCCTAAATTAAAAATTGTAGGCTGGGCTAAGACCCTGGGTCCTGCAAACAGTTCCTCACATAGATCTCCGATTGATAACTCTTTGAGGCAAGGACTCTCATTTACTGGAAGTGTGTACAATGCTTAGCACGATGGGGCCCATGTCTAGCCAAGACTCTTAGACATTACCACAAGGCTACTACTGATAATGATAATGTGTGTCTGCAGGATCAGGCCCTAAAGCTGCAGGCTTTTTAGATGACATATACAGGCTCTCTTAAGTATTATTATAAACTTTTATTTCCATAAATTACTCCTGTAGTTTATCTCATATGAGTTTTTGTACTTTGACATTTTTCATCTAAGGTGCACAAACTGATTTTCATACAATATGACACATTACAACAAGCTATAACCCACTAACCCTCCTTTGTCCGATCACCCCAGAGGTGTTAACTGCCCACTTCACTTGAATGGTTTCTTGCAACATGTTAAATCCTTATGCTAAACAATCTGTTCCACCTTGCATTGAGTAGTGACATGCTGACTACCTTTCCCAGACCAGAGAAAGAGCTCTGTGTAGCTCAAAAGCTTGTCTCTCTCACCAACAGAAATTGGTCCAATACAAGATATTACCTCACCTACCTTGTCTCTCTAATATCCTGGATCAACATGGCTATAACACCACTGGAAATTTAATACAATATCTAATTCAGTTTCATGTTAGGTATAGGGGTCACTACAATGGAACACAGGTGCCGACTCCGTGAGTGCTCCAGGGCTGGAGCAGCCACACAGGGAAAAAATGGTGGGTGCTGAGCACCCACTGTTAACCCCCCATCAGCTCCTCCTCCCCCCCCCAGCACCACCCACCCACCGGCGGGCTCCCCCTGCCTTCCGCCCATCGCAATCAGCTGTTTCGCGGCATGCAGGAGGCTGGGGATGGGGGAAGGAGCGAGGATGCAGCGCGCTCAGGAGAGGGGGTGGAACCGGGCGGGAAGAGGTGGGGTGAGAAGAGGTGGTGCGGGGGTGGGAAGGTGCAGGGTGGGGCCTTGGGGAAAGGGGTGGAGTGGGGGCGGGGCCTCGGGCAGTCTCAAGCACCCCCCAGCACTTTGGAAAGTCGGCCCCTGTGGCAGAACACAGTCGCTGTTTACTGCCAATGTTGAACATTTCACAGCAGCAGCGTACCACACTAAAGGCCCGGAAGAGATGAAGAATATATTGTCCAATAGAAAGAACAAGGGCAATATTTTGATATATTAGAATTTAACCCTCGACTCTTACAGAAACTGCCATGGGATCCTTTCACCTTTTCTTCCTCGAGGGTTGGGTTGTGTGGCTGTGCCGCACCAGAGCTGCACCTCAGAGTTGGACAGAACGGCAGTGACTCCAGTATGCATAATCTATAAAGTACCCCTGGGTTTACAAGAACTATAAACAAATAAGATCTTACTTACAATGTGAGTGTCAGTGTATTTCCTTTGATTTTAGTAAAGTTACACCAGTCACAAGTAGACCTGTCTGTCTTTATAATGTGTATGCACTGATGTCTATGCAATACATTATGTGCTCATACAGCTCCATGCTCAGGACAGCACTGTTCCAGAACAGGTACTTGTCACTGGTAGGTAAGGGAATTACTCTGGTGGCGGTGGGGTTATATCCCCACTTTTCACTTCAACGTCCATCCTTATTTGTGGCATAAGGTACTATTGAGCATATATAAGGATGGCAGCAACTGGCCTTTATTGAATAACTGCAGGGCTGGTGTTTTCTAGTCTATACCTGACCCCAGAACTCTTACTGCTAAGTAGTTATTCCTAATATGTAGCTGACACTTTAATTTCCTTACCTTGAGGTTGTTGCTCTTTTTCTACTAGCTTCTCAGGGGGAAGTTCCTTTCCTTCATTTGTTATTGCCTTAATTGTACTTTTAACATTGTGATCATATCCTTTCCCCTGACTGGATATTGTCTTTTCAAGGCTGTAACATGTTAGTTTCTTCCATCTCCTCCCATTTTAATCGCCAATCTTTGTGTCATCTTTATTGCTCTTTTTGTATTTTCTTTTGTTTCGCAATGTTAATTTTACAGACGCACTGTTAGAACGTAAGAACAGCCATACTGGCTGAGACCACTGGTCCATCTAGCCCAGTATGCTGTCTTCTGACAGTGGCCAGTGCCTGATGCTTTGGAAGGAATGAACAGAACCACGCAATTATCGAGTGATCCATCCCTTGTCGTCCAGTCAGTCAGCGATTTAGGGACATCCAGAGCATGGGGTTGTGATTCTGAACATCTTGGCTAATAGCCATCGATGGATCTGTCCTCCATGAACTTAACTAATTCTTTTTTTAATCCAATTTTACTTTTGTCCTGGCAACGAGTTCCACTGGTTGACTATGCATTGTGTGAAGAAATATTTCTTTGTGTTTGTTTTAAACCTGCTGCCTATTCATTTAATTGTGTGATCTCTGTTTCTTGTGTTATTTGAAGGGGTAAATAACTCTTTCCTATTCACTTTCTCTACACCATTCATGATTTTATAGACCTTTATCATATTCCCCCCTCAGTTGTCTTTTTTCTAAACTAAACAATCCCAGTCTTTTTAATCCCCCCTCATATGGAAGCTGTTCCATACACCTGATCATTTTTGTTATCCTTCTCTATACCTTTTCCAATTCTAATATAGCCTTTGGGACATGGGGAGATTAGAAGTGCATGCAGTAGTCAAGGTATGGGTGTACCATGGATTTATATAGTGGCATGATATTGTCTGTGTTGTTATCTATCTTTTTCCTAGTGGTTCTGTTATCTTTTTTGACTGCCGCTACGCATTGAACAGGTGCTTTGAGAGAACTATCCCTGGTGATTCCAAGATCTCTCCCTTGAGTGGTAACAGCTAATTTAGAACCCATCATTTTATATGTAGAGTAGGGATTATGTTTTCCAGTGGGCATTACTTTGCACCTACAACATTGAATTTAATCTGTCATTATGTTGCCCAGTAGCGCCATTTTGTGGGATCTCTTTGTAACTCTTCACAGTTAACTATTTTGAGTAATTTAGTATCAGCTGCAAACTTTGCCACCTCACTGTTTACCCCCCTTTCCAGATCATTTATAAATATGTTAAACAGGACCGGTCCCAGTACAGATCCTATATTGCAGGTACAATTCCACCTGTCCCAAGAGGTATGACTTTTCCCTGGTGTATCGTTTCTTCTGGCACATCATTGCAGTTTGTTGGTCCAATTTCTTCAGGTTATTTTATACTCCGGAATTTGATCATGGTGGAGATGTCACTGTCATCTAGGTTTTCATTAAGAAAACTAGTGGAGGCACAGTGATCACCTTTAAAACCTTGCTGATTTTGCCTTATGTAAATAGAGATAGTTCCCTCAGTGCAATATTTGAGCTATACTTGTAGGAAATACTTGAAATACTGCAAATACAGAAGTAATATTAACTTAGGCATGATCTAAAGCCTAAATATAATTTAGCTAAGGCATTTTCTCAAACAGCAGGCTAGGGCATAAGAGGGCCTATGTACGTACTTCAGTAGTGTAAAAATAATGTATGCATATCTGGCTAGTATTTTCCTTGGTGATGACATCAATACATCCTATGTACCTTAATGTTCCTTTCCAGGTATCTTAATATAACTGCACAAAAAGCCTCGTGATTTAGCTATATATTTTTAAAAATTCTATTGCATGACATTGCTTAGTAGAAAAAGTGAATATTAAAAAAGAAGTATAGTATATTCTGTTCTTGATTACATTTGAGGAATATTATTGAGTTCAGATGGCTGCAGTGAAATTACTCTGAGTTTACACCAATGTAATAACCTGAATTTGGCCCATTAGCTGAGTTTTAAGATTGACTAATATTTATTCTTAGTAATATAACAGATATGTCATGAACTGGCTTAACTGATATTAGGATCTAAGTTCACGTATAAATATACATTTACTTTCAAACAGGTACAGAGAGAGCATGAAACCAAATCAAAAACCCGTGGATGTGTGCAATCGTCTGATACCTGGATACACAGGTAAATAATGTGTTTGGGCCACATCCTAACCTTCTTTCTCAGCTTTAAACCCAACTTAACTAGCCAGTGGAGGATTCCCCTGCATCATGGAAAATCCTCTGTTCACAAAGAGCTGCAATAGCAGCTACCGTACCATGATCCTCTGCTCTATTTTACCATGCCAAAGCCTGGCAGCCCTGGGGCTGGGGAAATGTAAACATGCCTTAAAATCACCCCCTCCCTAGACTTTCAACATGCACAGCTCAGCTGATCTGGAGAATTTGGGCCAGAATAGTAGCTTTGCATTTGAATTTACTTTCTTGGATTAGTTCACATAAGAGCTGGACCTGATCCACAACGTTTGGATCCAGAACTAAACCACCCCAATGTTCAGAGATAGTTCAGAACCAGGATTTTGGCTCAGTGCAAAGTTCAGACTGACAAAATTCAGAGACAGTTTGAAGTGGGATTTTCGTTCAGACCCATCCGATTTAAATCAGATTCTTATCTCTATTTCTTTAGCATTTAACATAGTCATAATAGATTCAGGTTCAATGTTAAAGGAATATGTACTTGTGCTATATGCATCTATTCTTTATAATGAAAATTATTACATGGTGAAAGTCTGCTTTGGGGGTTGGTCCCACACAAAAGACCTACATCTATTTCTTATAATTCAGGAGTTCATTTTAATACAATCACAATTTCCAACCAAAATGAATTATCTGAAATTGCATTTTCAAAGCATCCAAAAAAAAAAAAAAAAAAGGCATTTCAAACCACCCTTCAGACTGACGTTTTGGTACAGTAAAGAGAATTGCTGTTAGCAGAATTGATCTGTCATAAGGGGATTGTACTTTCATAGCCCTTGTCAAAATGTGGCTTGTTTCTAAGGTCATAGGAGATCACTGTAGTTGTAACCGTCTATATAATTGCAGTGTGTGTGTGTAATTTGAAGAACTAAGAATGGCAGATAATGTTCTATGTTTGTTTGTTTGATAATTTCACTCTGTCTGTAAATGCTTGCAATATGTTCCATTAGATCTTGTGAGCTTTTAACATTTATTCTGCTTACTCTTTTAGGCTACATCCCCCAAAGATTCTATAGAATTGGCACTACTTATGGAGATGATTCAATGGCATGTATGACCTCATTCCACAACGCTACTCAAAGGAGCAGAGATGCACAGAATGAGCTGAGATACATAGCAGCCACTACTCCCAAACTTCCATCTATTTGCTCCAATGAAGATGTTTTACAAGCACTTTATGACTATAATTATAAACACCATCCTTATGTGCTAGGTACTGTATTTAAGTTGTAATGAACTTGATTTCAGCCAAACATTCAATTAATGTTACTAGTACAATGTGAATTATAATTACAGTCTTCAGGGACATAGTAAGAACCAATTTTTACCTTCAGTCGCTAGCACATTGCTCTGATTTCTGTGGGCGTTACACGCACGTGCATTCAGTGACAGAATTTGGCCCCTATATCTTTCATTTCTATTCTAAATCTCAAGGTTTTCTCAAATAGGTGTGTATATTTAAGGACAGAGTCTCATCTTGATATGAAATATTTTACATAGCTCTTACATCAATTGTAATTGTTAACCAGAAATCCTTCCATAAATGGGGTTCTGAATAGATTCATGCAATAGCATGCTCTCAAATTGTACTATTATCTAAAAATCTGAAGCCAATATTTTCAAATCTGGCTGCCTAAACCTAGAGTAAAACCAACCTGCTGTTCTGAGGGGCTGAGCACTTGCTGCCCAGACTGACCGCAGTAGGAACTACAAATGGCCACCATCCCTGAAAATCTGTAATCTTATCTGGGTATCTAATTTTAGGCACTCACATTTGAAAATTTTGTCCTGTCTTTCTGGGGCTTGATTCTGCCACCTTTACTCATGCTGATGGCTACCTTACTCTGCAAGTACTCTCATTCTTTCAGGGGTACTGTTTGCAGAGTAAAGTGCTACTGAGTGTGAGTCAGGCTGGCAGAATCTGGCCTTTAGTGTTTTCTTTATTAAAAAGAAAGAGAGCGAGAGAGAGAGAGAGAGAGAGAGAGAGAGAGAGAGAGAACTCTTAAAGTAGTCTTGAGGAAAAGCAAAACATTTTCATTTGATCTTGTGACTCATGTGGATCTCAGGATGTCTCATGTATCCTGATTTTCACTGCAGCAATAGCTTCTTTCCAAATCTTTCCTCGGGCTCCTCACTCTGGGTAAGTGAGCCCCTTTTGTGGTTCTCCATGATTCATAGACTGTGAGTAACCATGAACGCCAAACACCAAGGCCCAAACATAGAGTGTTTTGACCCAAACTGAGCTCAACCCCAATTGCCCGTCATGGATTCCTAACTACCAGCTGCGGCAAGCTAGCATTTCTCATCTGATCAGAAGAGTTCCAGGACCAGGACCAGGACCACCCTGTAAAAGATGTTCAGAACTTCCTCCTGCAGTTACCTTAGAAACCCCAATGTCATCAGATAGAATGTTCCTGAGTGACAGTTCTTAAGTCTGTAACTAGTGCCTTTCTTCCTACATAACTTAACGCACCACTGAATAGCAGCCAGCTCTGTCTGAACGTGGCAATGCACAACAAGACAACACTGCAGTTTAGAATAGAAAGTTCAACTGTGTCCTGTTGAAACTGCAAGGCATCTTTCAGCAGGTAGAATGTAATTTCCTGTGTTGGAATTTTGACAGGCCATGGGTACTAACATATATTTATATGCGTGAGCCTATTCCCTACTTAGGCACTGACGCAAAACCCATTACGTTCAATGGAAAGACTCTTACTGGCTTCAGTGGGCTTTGGATCAGGCCTTTAATGACCGCTGGCTAAATTCTAAAGTCCTTTCATAGCCTGAGGAAGGATGATTCAAAAGTGAGGAAGGACTTCAGGATCTGGCCCCATAAAAGAGAAAAAGTTATCTAGGCACCCCTAAGGGGCATATCAAAAGTGGTGAGACCCACTCTTGGTGATATAAAGTGACTAATGAACATTCTATGAAGCATGTCAATTAACCGAGAACATTTGTTATAAGGCAGGAACCTTTTTATCCTCTATGGTAAATATAAGCAGATATTTTCTTGGGCAGTTAGGTGTAATTTTGAGGTGGCATTTATTTGGTCATTTTGCAGGTACTGTAATAACTAAGAGAAGTTTACTAGAGCCCCCTATTCCTGGTTGGACTGGGTTTGTGCCTAGAGCAAGGGTCACTGAACTGGGATACGGTGTTCGTTACCATGAAATGACAAAAAATTGCTATCAGGATTTTAAGAACTTAAGAGATCGGGTCTGCTACGATCCCACCAGCAATTTACACAGGTAATTTTATACTAAAATATATCAATTGAAAAGTACAATATAAGATGGTGATGATGATGTTTAATTGTATGGTAGAGTAGTAAGTAAATATAACCTCACCAACCACTAAACCAATTAAAGGGAGTAGGACAGGTAACAGGGTTACATAGACTTTAGGGGCTCTCCTGGGGCATGTCAGGAATCTATGTAGTACAGCATTTGTAATATAAAGCATACTTTTTTTGGAAAGACTGCACTATACTGTGTATTTTTCATAATTGTATTTTAAAAGCTTCCTTATCTACAGGAGGTACTGAACATAGACAGCACACAAGAACTACTGTACACAGAAGCATGTTGTTATATTTTGGTTATGCTGATATTCAGACCTTTTCTGTTCACCACTTGAACCACAAACATTTTTAAAAAACCTCATTGTATGAAGCCCTGATGATAATCCTTTTTTCAAGTATTTCTAGTACATCCTGCTGCATGGTGGATCTAAGGCCTCGCCTACAATAATCTCAGGTACTGGCGTAGCTTAACTGGTACAAACATCTAGTGGATTTTCACCAGAGCATCATTATTTGCCCCAGTGAGACATATACCAGTAGCTGAAAGGTCAGTGTAGAAAAGATCTATCTTCTGCAGTCTGGGTAGGACTGAAAATTCAGTGTTGCTAGGAGGAAAAGCTCTTGGGAACCTCATTTTTTAATCCAGAAAAGCACATCAAGTGACTGCTTATTTCAGTATTTAATTTAATAGAAAAGCTCTGATTCTTTTTCTGCTTATCTGACATTTGCATTGCCAACGGAATTTCAGTTTGCCTCAGAATTTAGTGTTGACAAAGCCTTAGCAGCTGTCAGCAAGAGGCAATGATGGGTCGGGAGGGGGAAGACAAGTGAGCCTGGGATTTTAACCTTGGGAGGACAGGAGAGTTGGTCTGTACCACTAGAAGTGGAATGGGCCAGGCCTCTTACAAACAACGAAAGGATTTGGCAGTGGAGCGGGGGAAGAGTGTGGCTGTGAAGACTTGGGAGTTTGAATTGCCACAGAAGGGTGATCAAAGCATTGGAAACAGGGCTTTCCCTTCCCAAACTTGGCGAGAGGGAGTATTTCCCTTCTTCCCTCCTCCCACTGAGTGACAGATGCTGCACCTCTGCAGGCAACTTCCTTCTGCCTCCTGCTGATAAGGAAACACACTGACCTCAGCACATCCATTTTCCTTCCAGTACAGTGCACAAGCCTAATTATGAGTTGGTGTTTCCTAACACACACACACACACACACACACACACACACACACACACACACACA